ATCTCATTCTCAGATGAAATACCTAATATGTCTAATGATCATATATTTGAAAGAAACATAGTTATCAGTAGGTGAATACATGTTTGAAGAGGTAAAAGTATATTCTGTATAAATTCTGTCCCAATTGATTGACTCAAAGCACATACAATTCTTAGACAAACTCTCCTTCACTGTGTTAAAAAAAAAGTGACACATCAAGTGCTGTAGCAATCTAACCATTCCCTTGTGAGTGTCAGCATTTGAGGTTTTCACCTGTTCATCATGTGCTTTAGTGCCACCCTTTCCTGCCCCCTGCCTTTTCATGGAAGGCTGGTCAGAGCCTCCCCAACCGTCTTAAACAGTGGGATTACATGGCCTGGATTAGGGATCCCAGTCCCTACTCACTGGACACGTGATCTTGGGCATTCATTTATTCTCTCTCAGCAGTAGTTTCCTCAACGTAAAATGGGGATAATAAGAGTTCCCCCATATTTGGGTTTTTGTAAGGATTAAGTCACCTTGTGCCTGTAAACTGCAGCTTAGCTCCATGCCTGGCACACAGTACACCCTCAATCAGCAGCTGCATTTCTTCTGTCTACACCAGATGCTTAGGCGTGCTCCCCGAGGTGAGCTGGTTCTGGTTCTGACGTGACTTCTGGATGCCTGGTCCATCTCTGGGAAACCACCCCTGGGGAAACTTGTAGACAGATAGGAGAGAGCCATGTAGAGGAAGAAGACAGAGTTAGATCATAGACCAGACAGCCCCACACTGGGTTCCTTTGTCCCCCAGTGCCTGGTGACTCTCCCTGGCTCTGCCTCCTTCCACCATATGTCAGAGCAGAAGGACCCAGCTGGGCCTTTGCCTACTTCATGGGAGTGTCCTGAGAAGGGAGGGAACAGTGTCATTATCTAATGTTTACCCCACAAATTTGTGACTCATTATAAAGCCATGAAGCATGCTTAGAACTAGTCAAGCTCAGCTCTTACTCTTCTGTTCATTTGTATTGGCAAGTGGTCCTCACCCCAACAACTGCAGGTGGAGATTCACCTTCAGCTGATAACACAATAGCATCAACATTACCACCCCCATCCCAGAAGTGACCTATCTTTGTGTCCAGGGCATGGGTTTCTCATATTCCAGTGTCCTTCCACCTACAGAGAATACCTCTAGGGTGGGTCATTCCAAAGAATTAATTATTATACTAAGACCTTGACATGTTGGTTAAACAGCTGTCTAATGTTTGTAGAACTGTTTATGTTGGCTTAAGGCTGTCGCTTGTTGTAGACAAAATATAGTCTCCAGTATATGGCCTGAGAAGTGACAGCAGGTGGTGAACCATGTCCGAGGCAGTGAAGCTATGTGGTTGGGTCATCAACCCTCACAGTCCATGCAGTGGTCAGCAGGGAATGGTCCCTATGACTCTTGTAAGGAGCAGGCTTCCTAGGCTCTGCCAGACCCTGCCTTTTCTGAGGTGAAGTTTGGAGGGTGAGCGTTCATGAGCCCATGCTAACAAGCTCTCTGCAGTCTCACATGGGCGTGGGAGAATTGGGCAGAGCCATACTGAAACCCCTTTTAGGAATTGTGCTTCAGCTGTGCTTGTGGGTTTCACAGGAAACATGGTGTCCCTGATAAGCATGGCATCAGTCCACATTCCGCACCCTCCTGAATCCCCTCTTACAAGTGCACAAGAATCCCGTGCTAAGGGGAGGAAGGGAGATAGAGTGAGAATCAATGCCTGTGGGACATCATCAGCAACTCCAGTTTAAACTTGTTTGTGCATTTCTGAAAGTTGGGAAGGGAAATGGCGAGGAAGGATTTACTCTAGCGTGGGCCCCATGAAAAGGACACTGTTGGCGGCCAGGGTCATGTTGGGAGAGAGGCGCTGAATCCCGAGTGAGTGTGTACAGGTGCTGGGGAGGGTGTGGCTGCCAAGCCAGGTCTGTGAGTAACAGCAGTCAGGGCATGTCGACTCAGACCCAGGTCAGCACAGCACAGCACAAATCATCATGTGTGAGAAGGCAGAGAACAAGAGTGGAGCCTCTGGGGAACTTGGAGGGTAATGTCACCTTGGCGTTGTCATGGAAATAAGGCCTGGGAACCAGGCTGGCCTCCACAGCAT